TATGCTAAAATCTGAAGTAGACCAGAGAAACATACACCCAAATAAAATTTACACCAAAATTATTAATTAACATTACCTTTATTAATTTAAACAATGAGATTTGCACAGACGCATTATCAGAGTGAATTTTCATATACTGTATTATCCTACTATTGTTACACAATTTATTAAAATACTCTTTTTTAGGTTCATTTAGGTTCTTTGGATAACGATAGCAGAAAATAGCTATCGCAATGTCAAGGTAATTTTTCAAATTAATTTCTCTACTAATTGGAATTTTCTCTTACAGCTTGAGCCTAAGTGTGTCGCAGGATACCCTCTAGGTGATAGTTCTTGATTACTTTTTGATAAATAATTTGTTCTTATTGCGAAATAGGAGCACTATTTATCAACCTGTAATAAAAGACGTGAGGAAATTCTGTCTTTTTTAAAGACAAAAATTTTTGAGGCAAAATACCCAAAAAGAAGTTTGTAAAAAAAATCTACCCTTTTGTGCCAAATCACTAGCGTTATTACAGTATCTACCGGTAGTGGAAAGCAAGAAGTTTTTGCCAAAATTTGCACGTTCATCGCGCTGTTTCTCTGGAAGCAAACTATTTGAAAAAAGTCGGCTCTGTTTTTTATTAAGCCGCAAAGTACTTTGAACAGTATCAATGACCAAAGTTTCATTTGGTTGTACGAATCAACCGATCATGCACTTAAAATTTATCGGTTTATCTTAATGCGTTGGGCAATTGATTCGATCATTGAATTTTACGCTATTACTTGCCATTTCCAGTCGGTTCACATCATTGTGACTAGGCAATCTTGCCTTTTATTTCATTCTATGCTTTTCAGCTAACTTTGGGGAGATTCATTGTTTTCGCATCGCTAGCATAATGGCTTCAGAAGCCTGTTTTGGGGGCAATATCATTATTTTGCCAACATCCCTGACCATGGCTTGAGCTTGAGCTTATAGAGCGGAGTTTTGTCTAGTCAACGATAGCAACAACAAACTGCGAGTTCTTACAGTTTGGGAGAAATCAATTAATTTCAAACCGCTTCTGTGCCTTTATTAGAATCTAGACTTGATGCGATTGCAGTTATTTTCCAAAAAGGGCTGGCGATGACTGGGAATCGCAACTTCTAGGGTTGAAACCGTGAAGGATTTTCCAGACATTGGGAGAGCAATTCTTCAGCGGTTAGCTTTTGCTACTTAATTTTGGTTGCAGTTTATAAGACAGTATTTGTTCTGCAGACAGTAAATTTTCTGATCATCTCACGAAACGTTCAGGGCATATAGAACGGCATATTTTTTAGTCAAGACAAAACCCCACAAGTTTGCAGTTGTTGGAATTTGGAAGAAATTAATTATTTTCGAATCCCCGCTATAATTGCTTTAAAAACCAACCTTGAGGCATTTACGATTATTTTGCGCACATTTCTGATGATGGTTTGGCATCGAAACTTTCACGCTTTATAAAGTAGGGTTTGCTCTAGCCATTGCAAAAAAACCGAATTTCGAGAGGCAGTTTAAAATAAGCTATTTGTGAAGTGATTGCTGAATTGTCCTAAAATGCAGCATGCAAGCTATTTATTTTTTTTGACTTGTCTTGATGATTGATTGGTGGCGAAAAGACAAGAAACCCGTCTGTAATAATTGTTCGAAAATCTGATAGTGAGGGATTTACGGTGCCTTTATCTAAATGGCTGATGACGGTTCAGGATCGAAACTTTCACACTTTATACAGTGGACTTTTTCTAGGCACTGCCATAAAAAGCAAATTTTGGACCGTAAGAGTTTGAGAGAATTTTTTTTTAGTAAATGAATGCGCCATGATTGCTTTAGAACTCAAATATTCTGCGTCTATAATTTTTGCAAAATGATCTGACGATGACTTGCTGACGAAACTTGGGGGGCGTATAAAGGAGTTTGTTTTTTATCGAAGCCAAGAAAGTTTTAAATAGGGGCTGCAGAAATTTGGAAGAAATTAATAATTTTCGAGGCAGTTCAATAGTTCTTTTAAAATCCACTTTTGAAGCAATTACGATCATTTTGGAAAACTTTTCCATTTTAGTTAGAGGGATTGAAACTTTTGCGTTTTATAAAATTAGCTTTGCCTTAGACCCTGAAAAATGTGGCAGTTTCAGAAGATTTTTTTATTTGGAAATAGACCTTAGAATCCACACTAATACGAGATTAAGATTTTCTTTCAAAATTTTCCGGCATAAAACTTTCAGAATTCATAGAGAAGTTAATTATTTAACCAAGACAAAAACCAACAAATTTGGAGCTGTCAAGATTTGAAGAAAATGAATAATTTTATGAAAATATTTGGGCATAAAAAATTACGTGTAATATTGTACAGAAATTGCTTTGGAATCCAACGGTTGAAGTTTGAGGGCAATTTATATATTTTTTTAAATGAGTTGCTCTATAATCTAGAAGACGCACGATGACAAATTTTGTTTGAAAATCTCCTGATGATGACTTGGTGACGAAACTTTCTGAGCTTATAAAACAATCTATTGTTTAGCCAATACAGGTAAAGCAGCTTTGCAGCTGATGCGATTCGAAGGCCAAGAATTATTTTACTAACCCAATACCGATTATTTGAAAATATTCTGACGATGGTTTCAAGTCGAAGCTTTTGGACTTTTTAAATTGAAATTTGTTCTAAAGGTTGAAAAATAATCAGATTTCAAACTGTGGAGATTTCAGTTTTTTTACATTAAGGCTTGTACCAGAATCTAGTAAACGCGTGATTTTTTTATTGCAAATACTTTGAAGAAGTGTAGAGAGACGAAACGATCACAGTTTAGAGAGCAGAGTATCCTCTAGCTAACACAAAAATGGAAAGTTTATAAGAAAAAATTCCATGTTTATAGAATGAATTTTGGCCTAATTTAGGAAAGTAAAAACACTGGGCGCTTGTTTGATATTGAGGAGAAATTAATTAATTCCCATCGCCTTTAGCCTTGACGATTATTTTGCAAAATACTATTATGATGGACTTGTTATGAAACTTTCAAGTTTAATAGAATCAGTTTTGCTCTATTTCCGGCAATTTAAATTAAGGCTGGCAGTTTGGGAGCTTGGACAAAAAATTTTTTAAGCACGCACTCATTGGCTTAAGGCTCCTTTTGGGATTGTCAGGCAAATTTTTTATATTGTTGACCTCCATTCAACCGGAACAGAAACGAAAATGATTCCTATCCATTTCATTTGAAATTTCGATAGTTTATAAGGAATTGAATCATTTGGTACGAAATAATCCTCTACATGATTTGACAATGGTAGAACTTTTTTACTCTGCCCGGGTTTGTATGAAAATCCCCTTCAGTGAAAATTAAAATCTTTTTTGATAAATAAGCGAAATTGTCCCAAAAAAACCGAGTCCGACTCTGACCAAAATAGATTTTCCCATCAAAATCTACCAACAAAACAAATACAAATCGCGTCGTTTATGTTAGTTGAAAATAAACGAAGCTCGCGATATCATTGCTTAACAAGTATGGGTGAATTAACGGGTTCCGAAAATCGTGTTGATATCGCGAGCGTGGACAATCTAAAAACTCTCATTCGAAATATTGCCAAGGTGAACGCTAGTGAGAT